ATATATATATATGACTGTATAAAAAGGAAGATACCCTGAGAAAACTCTATTTCATGTCTATCGATATCGCGTGCAATGCAATATTAAAGATGTGCATTTAAAAGTAAAATCCATTCCTGCTACAGCTTAATAGACCACAATGTGCCAGTACTTAACCACTTCTTGTTTTTGGGTAAGCAGGTAAACAAGCTAAGAAAGGACATCTTTATATGATATCTGAATTTAGGATTACTTTTGACTCCATGCAAGCCATGTGGCTGGGCTTAAAAATCTGTTTTGTTTTTAAGTTGTTGGCCATAACGCCAACTTTCAACTTCACACTTGTTTGTCTGCTTACACACTGCGAGGAATGAATCAGCTCTGTGTACCAACTCATTGCTCATTAACATCCTGATTTACGAAGCCAAGATTCCTGGCTTAAAGTGGCATGCAAAGATGGCCATTGAGTTTAGTAAAACTCAACCAAGGTGAGGTTGCTTAAGTGCTGCCTTCGTTTCAGAAATCCAAACACTTTTTACAATCTCTCTCTCTCCATGATATATAAATAACAGAATCACTCAAGGTACATTAATTTACAAAATATTTCCACTTGAAAACAGGTACAGGGATAATGTGGCATGAATGCTTATTTATAAAATCCTTTTCTTAACTTATAGGAACAAACGAAACCCTAACCACAAAAAATATGGAATGGAGGAAAATATATAGCATGCAATAATAATAATAATAAAAAAGTTTGAAATAGCTTCTCCTGAAAAGCAACGTATGATTGCTTTCTTTTATCTCAAACTCCCCAAACTATTTGCGTCTATCATTTTTATTTTTGCTGGTTCAGCTCCAATGCCTTTACCTGCAGGCCAGCAGGCAAACATTTTGCAGATTAAGCTTTTGCTAACACGTTGGTGTCCTAGTAGAACTGCATTATATCATAGGATTACTTGAGAAGGCTAAATCTACCTCATTGTCAACTTCTGCTTCAAAATTAGACCTCATTTCCCTATATAAACTTAGCAAGCGTTGCAGAGTCATTTAAAAACCAGCAACCTATAACTAGGCCAAAAGGAAGAGATAAAATAGTATTAGCTGTTAGCATCAGAATTCTCTCTGGTAGATGGGTAGGGATTTGGGTGGGGATCTTTATAAGCTATAGGGGTTTTTTTCTAAGTTTAAAATTATATCCCACTCAAATTGGTGAAAATTGTTAAGAAGGAAAGTGAATTTTGAAGGGTGGCCGTGAAAAAAGGAATTATATTGTTTTGTTCAACTAAACAGGGGCCTGAAGTTGATTTTGGCAATCATATCTGGTTAAAAAAAAGTAAAATCTCCTTTGAATTGAGCTTGATGCCCGTTAACATCATGGACACATAAATGTCATTTCCTTGGCAGCAACAGTGAAGTGGTTTCCGCTGGCCTCTCTCAGAATTTTTTGAGTTCCCAATCCAGGCTACAGTCCTGAGATTTCCTTATGGTCTCCCATTCAAATATTAACCAAGTTCAATCTTCCTCAAGCTTTTTGAGATCAGCCCAGGATCTACTCAAATTAATTTATGAACTAAAAAACCACAGCTCCAGTAAAAGCATGAGTCATTTCCCCAAATCTTCTACATTAAAAGGCACATCTTCGAGTAAGTTTTGCTTCGGGAGGTTGGACTGTGCTTTCTGATCCCTCCAAAATGTTTTGTAAGTGACTCAGGTTCATGATTTCTCCCCAGTCTCTTGGTCTCTCCAGGGATTTATTTTGCTAAACTAAAACAGTTATCGCTGGTCAGATGCAACATAGAGATGTGAGTAGGTAAATGCATTGGGCATAGATATACACAAACACACCCCCCCCCCCC